TTTTTTTTTTAACGTTTGTTTATTTTTGAGACAGAGAGACAGAGCGTGAACGGGGGAGGGGCAGAGAGAGAGGGAGACACAGAATTGTAAGCAGGCTCCAGGCTCTGAGCCATCAGCCCAGAGCCCAACGCAGGGCTCGAACTCACGGACCGTGAGATCGTGACCTGAGCTGAAGTCGGACGCTTAACCGACTGAGCCACCCAGGCGCCCCTTGAGTCCTCTTTCCTAGACTACTGTGATAGCACCTTAACTAGTTTACTGCGCCTCACCTTTCCCGTATCTGTTTTTCAAATTTCAGAAGTTCTAGTACACGTCGGAATACGTTGCACTCTTGCTCAGAGCTAACGATATCTTTTGAGGGCACAGGATGTGGTGCACGGTCATTAGCAGAGAATTGATGGTGATCAGTGGTCTGGCTTCATCCTGCTTTCCTGGCTGGATTGCCCACCATGGTCTTTCATATTCTTTATGCTTCAGCCAGACTGGACTACTACTTTTCCTGAATATGCCCAGAGTGTCTCACTACCTCTCTCAGTCTAAGTCCTATCTTGTCTATTGCACAAATATATCATGCTTACTACAGACCAAGCATTGCCCTCGGCACTAAGAATAAAAAGGTATGACATCATCCAGAAACGACTAAGTCAGAGCACAGTGGGAAGTGGCAGAGGATGAGTTTGGATAGGAAACTGGTTTCGAGAGAAGTTTTTTAAATGTTAAGCTAAGGAGTTTGAATTTTATCTTGAGGGGATGAAAGTCATTGAGGAATGGGGGAGTAACATCAGATTGGAATTTTAGAAAATTCACTTTGGCCAGAGAATAGAAAATGGATTGGAGAAGAATGAGACCTGAGGTAAGGAGAAAAGTTAGAAGGCTAGTTTAATAGTCCAGTCAAGAGATACTGTGCATTTGAATTAAGGATGAATGCATTTGAACCCGGTTGGAAACTTAGGGATGGATTTTGAGAGATGTTTAAAGGTAGAATTGACAGGACCCAGTCACTCCCTCAGTGAGTAGGGCAAGTGGTAAGAGAGCAGGAAGAGTCCCTAAGTTCTGGTTTGTGTGCTTTTTGTCAGAACAGAGAATGGAGGAGAAGAAGCCGTTGTGATGGAGAGAGTGGCATCAAGAGATGAGTTTTAGACACGTTGATTTAAAAGTCCTTTCGGCTTATCCAGGTGGACTTGTCAAGCTGGCAGTTGTCATTGGTATCTGCCACCGCAAATTTGGAACTTCCAGGGGTGGAGGTAAAGCCTTAAGAATAAATGAAGCCTCGGAGGCGCCTGGGTGGCTCAGTCGGTTGAGCGTCTGACTTCAGCTCAGGTCATGATCACGTGGTTTGTGAGTTCAAGACCCACATCAGGCTCTGTGCTGATAGCTCAGAGCCTGGAACCTGCTTCAGATTTTGTGTCTCCCTCTCTCTGCCCCTCCCCTGCTCGTGCTTGCTCTCTCTCTCTCTCAAAGAATGAATAAACGTCTCTCTCTCTCTCAAAGAATAAACGTTAAAAAAAAAAAGAATAGATGAAGTCTTTATCCATACAAAGACTTATACAAGGATTCTGTTCATGACAGTTCTCTTCAGCAAAAAAAGAGGAAACAATCCAAATGTCCATTAACAGGTGAAAGAATAAACAAATTGTGAAATAGCCATACATTGGAATACTACTGGGTAATAAAAAGGAATGAATTATTGATACACATGACAATATGATTGAATCTCAAAAATAGTTCAGCTGAATGAAAGAAACCAGGTCAAAAAAAGAGTATATACTGTATAATTCTATTATATAAAATTCTAGAAATTGCAAACTTATCTACAACGACAAGGAGCAAGTGAGTGGTGGTTTTAGGGGGAGGCTTTTATGTTCATTTGTTGATTGTGCTGATAATTTCACAGATATATACATACATTAAAATTTAGCAGATTTACAACTCAGATATATGCAATTTGTTGAATGTCAGTTGTACATCAGTGAAGGTGTTAACAGTAGATAAAGCCACCTACTGAAAATTAGAGGTAAGACTGAAGTAGGGCTGTCATTAGACCTGGTTGGGGAGGGAGAGGAGTGGGCAATAGTGTGTAGGAGAAGAGCAGGGGAAGGAGTGATTCAAGGGGATGAAGAAGGAAGAAGTTGGAGGGGCGCCTGGGGGGCTCAGTCGGTTAAGTGTCAGACTTTTGGCTTCGGCTCAGGTCATGATCTCACAGTTCATGGGATTGAACCCCATATCACGCTCTGTGCTGACAATGTGAAGCCTGCTTGTCCCCTTCTCTCTGCCCATCCCCTGCTCACTCTCTATCCCTCTCTCTCTCTCTCTCAAAATAAACACTTTAAAACAAAACAAAAAAAACCCTATGTTTAAAAAAATCAAAGAAAGAAGGAGTTGGAGTAGAGACTCCTCAGTCCTGGGCCTTGTGGTTTTGTTTTTCTCTTCTGGACCTGAGGCTTCTGCCAAAATTATTTCTCTGTTGGATCTTTGGTCAGGCCAAGAGACATCAGATCTTGATCCCCCTCTTCATATTTATTGTACGTCTTGTACCTGGCATTATTCATTCCAGGTGTCGGTTGAAATAGGAAGTATAACCCAGAGCCTGGAACAAACTGGGTCCCAGTGATCAATACAGGGTCTACTCAGTGAATGTAGATACAGCAAGCTGAAGAAAGGAGGTCCAGACTTCTAAATTAAATGTTTCACGGGGCTCCTGGCTGGCTCAGTGAGTATTATGCTACCTTGATCTCAGGGTTGTGAGTTCAAGCCCCATGTAGGTTGTAGAGATTACTTAAAAACAAAACCTTAAATCTAAAATCTTAATTAATTAAATGTTTCACTATAAAGCTGCTTAGAGTGAAGGTCTTCCAGAAGCCATCCACACAGTTTTCCACTTATCCGGGAAATACTTCTTTTCTAAATGCACAAAATCGTGTTGGTATGTTTTGTTGGCGTTTATACTGATTAACTGATATCTGCAACTTTGTATATATCATTATTTAATGCTGAAACTCTGCTCTGAACATTATAACTAGGGCATAGGAAGTAAACTATTAGAATTTGAAGGGGAAATATAAAAAGAAGGAAGGAGTCAGGTAAAAAGTATGAGACCCTAGTGTCTGAGAAGCCGAGAAAGTAAGGAGCTGCAAGAAGAGTCGTTAAGTGCGTCAGACTACGGATAAGTGAGGTAAGGTGCTTGAAAATGTTAGATTTGACAGCTAAGGGGTCACTTCCGTCTGAGCGGTTTCAGTGTGGATAGATGACGGAAGAACATGGAAAGACAATAGCAAGGTAGCAAGGACAGATGACTTCTGCCCCCCGCCCCGCCACTCTCCAGATTACTATGGTTTTTTTCTTCAGAAGCTTGGAAATGAAAAGAGTTACTGCTGTGGCAAGAAGGGGATTCAAGCTTGGGGAGGTTTTTTATTTGAAGGTGATGGAAACTTGTATATGTTAGGAGTCTCTGGGGCAGGAGCTGGTAGAGAGTGCTGGTGAAGATACTGAACAATGAGGAGATGAGTAGCCCAGGAACACAAGCAATGGGATTTGTCTTGAACTGTTTGCCAGGTACTATTTTAAGTACTCACATGTGTTTTCTAATTCTCATTGGATTACTCTTATTGCCTCCATTTTACAAGAGAGAAAACTGAGGTTTAGAAAGAATAATTTGGTTAGAGAATCTGCAGTTTTAAATACTATGCTATGCTACCTCTAGCAGGGCATCTTTGATGGCATCTTTTTTCCTGAGATGGGAGGGAAAGAGACAAATAAGGGTTTGTAGGTTGGGCAGCAGGGAGTTCACGTTAGGTATCCTCTATTTTCTTAACGAAATGAATAGCAAGATTCTTTACATAGAGCGAGGAAAGAGAAATGAGTAAGGAGTTTAAGAAGCATGGTGAAGTTTTGAAATTGCTGTTTTGGAGCGTGGAGAAGGAGCCAACCAGTGAATCAGAAAGAACTTGCTGAGCAGTGCAGAGTGTGAAGACCATAAATTTGGAGGCACATTCATTGGTCTGGTGGTTGTGAGATTTCCTCCAGCAGCACTCATCGGTTCAGGTGAATGGACACAGAAGGAGAGTTGATTGCAGGTGGCTGCAGTAGAGACTAAGAGGATAGCAGTATTTCAGGTGATAGAAAGTAAAGCTGTAAGATGGGTTATGGGGGGATAGATGAAGGCTCCATGGATTAGAAATCTTTGATGAGTTGGAGGAGGAGGGTAGCGAGAGCAGACAGGGGATTATGATTGGAGATCATCATAATAATTTAGGGTTTTAAGATTCCAGAAATGAAAGAAATAAGACAATTGGGAGCTCTGGAGTTAGTGTATTGAATGATGGATTGGTGTATTACATATATGGGTGATGACGAAGTCCACAAGGATTATGGCACATGTCATAGTGGAAAGGAAGACTGTAATCCAGCCATGGCAGTGAGATCCAGAAATCACAGCAGTGAGGATGCTTCAACCAAATAATAAAAGTGGCAACTACTCCCTGTTCCCCGTAATGTATTTTGTATCACAGCTTTGGGTAGAATAGGAAAAAACGTTGCACTTCATTTTAGAGTGTTTTTGTCTTGTGATTAAGTTTTTTTTTTTTTTTTTTTTTTTTTTTTTTACCCAATGTTTTATTATGGGAAGTTTCAAATATGCAAAAAAATTGAAAGAATTATTCATTAAAACACCTGTGTACCCATCACCTAGATTCTGTAATTTACATTTACTATGTTTGTTTTATCGCATGCCTATCCATCCCTGCCTCCCTCCATCCACCAATCCATCTTATGTTTTGATGCATTTCAAAGTAAGTGGCAGACATCAGTACATTTTACCTCCAAACATTGCAACATGCATGTCATTAACTAGAGTTCAGTATTTGTTTACAGTTCTTTTTGGTTTTTAGGTAAAATTTATGTGCAGTGGAATACACAAATGTTAATTGTACCATTTAATGAGTTTTGACAAACAAATACAACTCAAACCTCTATCAAGATAACGAACATCACTATCACTCCTGAAATTTACCTCCTGTGCCTTCTCAGTCAATCCCTGTAACCATTGTTCTGATCTTTTATCATCCTACCATAGATTATTAATCTTACCTATTCTAGAACATCATATGAATAGAGTCATATAGTATATAATTTTTGTAAGGCTTTGAGGTTGTGTTTCTTAGGAATTCAGTTCTTTTTTCCATCATAGGACTATGTCAGAGTTTGTTTGTCAAGTGGCTGGATACCTAGGAGGTTTCCAGTTTAGGGCTATTATACATAAAGCTTCCATGAATGTTCTTATTATACAAGTCTTTTTGTAGGCCTATGTTTTCATTTCTCTTGTGTAAATATTAAGAGAAATGGCTCATAGAGTGTTTAGTCTCACAAGAAACTGCCAGACCTTTTCTCAAATTGGTTGTACCTTTAATATTCCCGCAACAATGTATGAGAGTTCCAGTTGTGCCACATCTTTGCCAGTATTTGTTGTTATTAGTCTTTAATTTTAGTCATTGTGGTGGGTGTGTAGTGGTATCTCACTGTGGTTTCAATTTGCATTATCCCGGTGACTAGTGATATTGAACACTTTCTCGTGTTCTTATTGGCCATTTTGTATCTTTCTTCGGGCAGTGTCTGCATAAATCTGTTGCCCATTTTAAATTTTGCGTTCTTTTTGGTATTGCATTGTAAGAGTTGTTTATATATCATGGGTAACTGCTCTTTATCAGAAAAATGTTTCATGAATATTTTCTTCCAGCCTGTGGCTTGTCTATTCATTCTCCTAATGGTGTTTTTTGATGAACAGACTTTTTAATATTGATGGAGTCAAATTTATTAGTTTTTTTTTTTTTTTAAGGTTATTGCTCTCTGTATTTAAGAACCTCTTGCCTGCCACCAAGCCGTGAAGATACTCTCCTAATGCTGTGTTCTAAAAACTTTATAGAAAAGTTTTTACATAATCTGTGGTCCATTTCAGATTAATTATTGTGTATAATGTAAAGTGGGAATTGAGATTCATTTTTTATGCTGATATCTAGTTATTTCAGAAGTATATGTTGAAATATAGGTGTCTGGGTGGCTCAGATGGTTGAGTGTCCAATTTTGGCTCAGGTCATGATCTTGTGATTCATGAATTCAATACCTGCGTCAGGCTCTGTTTTGACAGCTTGGAGCCTGGAGCCTGCCTCAGATTCTGTGTCTCCCACTTTCTCTCTGCTCTTCCCCACTCGTGCTTTGTCTCTCCCTCAAAAGTAAACATAAAAAAAATTAT